TAGATAGATAGACAGATGAATAGACAGACGGTGTGGATGGATAGATAGATAGATAGATAGCTAGCTAGCTAGATAGATAGATAGATAGACAGGTATGCAGATAGATAGATAGATAGATAGGTAGGTAGATAGATAGATAGATAGGTAGACAGATAGACAGATAGACAGATAGATAGGTAGATAGATAGATAGGTAGACAGGTATTCAGATAGACAGACAGATAGACAGACAGACAGATAGATAGATAGACAGATGGATAGATAGACATACAGACAGACAGATAGACAGATAGATTGACAGATGGATAGACAGATGGATGGATAGATAGATAGACAGATAGACAGATAGACAGATAGACAGACAGATAGATAGATAGATAGATAGGTAGATAGATAGATAGATAGGTAGACAGATAGACAGATAGACAGATAGATAGGTAGATAGATAGATAGGTAGACAGGTATTCAGATAGACAGATAGACAGATAGACAGACAGACAGATAGATAGATAGATAGATAGACAGATGGATAGATAGACATACAGACAGACAGATAGACAGATAGATTGACAGATGGATAGACAGATGGATGTATAGATAGATAGATAGATAGATAGCTAGCTAGCTAGATAGACAGATAGATAGGTAGGTAGATAGATAGATAGATAGATAGATAAACAGGCAGATAGACAGATAGACAGATAGACAGATAGACAGATAGACAGATAGACAGATAGACAGATAGACACATAGACAGATAGACAGATAGATAGATAGATAGATAGGTAGGTAGATAGATAGATAGATAGGTAGACAGATAGATAGATATCGGATTAGTTTCACCTCTCTAGCCATTCGTGAGTTCTCGGTTGCGGACCGTGCGCACCTTACGTGTTTTCTCCGTATTTCCGCTGGGGACTCGCTGGGCTCTTGTGGGTGGAGCAAAATCAAAGTTAATTTATTTGGAAAATAGAATAGCATCAACATAGAAAAGAATAGGACAGAATTAAATAGGTAGATACTGGGATACATCTGATTTCTTGCTGCTTACAATCCTTTTTGTCGCAGTTTGACATCCAAATTTCTGGTGAGAATCCTACTTGTTGCTGGTTAAGATCCTGTCTTCGTCGCTAAACCTCCAACTTTCCCTTGGCGCAAAAGAGTTTGCTCCATAAAGCACGAACTCGGGCCGCAAGCCGCAGTTCCATCTGCAATGGGTGGCTTTGAGAGGAATTGGTAGGGCCCCTATATCTTCATATATCTTCATATATATATATATATATTCAAGTAAAATTGTTTATGGTGTAAATTTGTCTTTCCCAAATTGAGCACGGATTCTAACATCAACAAATTTCTTCGTGAAACAGTGATGAATCCACCAATTTTAAGGTGAGGTCGTCCCAGGATTCATTCGATTTTGGCCCCTTTTTTGGCTGATGGTTTGCTACGCGCTCTTCGGGTGCTAATGACTTCTGTGGTAAACGTGTGGTAAACCGCTATAAAATAGCAATTTGCCATCATTTTTAGATATTTTTAGCACTAATTTTGCTAGATTTATGGGGATTGGAACCATCTCAAATTGGAGATTGTTTCTGAAGTGACCGCATCGCGGCTGTCTCTGAAAGCCACTTTTTCTGACGCAAAGACGGCTACGGAGCGAGACGAACATTTGCCTCAGGCTGTCCTTTTGCTTTACCGAACCGTTTCTTCATGAAACTTCTTCATCCTTCAAGATCCCAGAGATTCTCAAGAAATTCTCAACTAACGTGGGGTAAAACTGGCTGCCATGTTTACCATCCCCCAGTCATCACTATTTTTATAGGTGGTATAAACTTACCATTCCCAGTCATGGGTGGTAAAAATGACATTGTTTTACCCGCATTAATCACATAGGATCCAGCAAAATCGGATCCACCATCGACCGTGGCTTCCATGCCAAGACGAAGCTTGTGGATCAAGGCGACCAAGATCTCGTCAAATGGCAAAACATCAAGGTGAATTTCATGATTATCCTGTATCTGGGTATGGATCAATACCTATTAATACCATTTTTAGGGGGATGAACATCCATTTACCAGCTATTTTGATGCTCACCAGGGGTACAAGGTTTTGACACACTGCCATCTAGATGTATTATGATGTACTCAAGATGGAAACTTTCGAAGTTCATTGAAGCGACAAAACATAGATGGCAATGGATCAATGATGATCAATACCAATATATATATATATATACCAATATTTTGTTTAGTGGACCAGACACTCTGAGAAAACTCACCGTCAGGCCTTACAAACGCCATGACTTCCCTTGCACATCGGGACCCTACTCGCAGGGGTACCGAAAAGCAGGTGGAGATTATCAAGGTGACCCGCGTGTTTTCGGATGGCCGGTGGCCTTGAGTGCGGTCATGTTTGTTCAACATGAGCCTCTGGTGATTAAAAACAAACTTACTATGGAAAATGCTTCATTCATGGATATTTTACCTATATTTTACCACATTTTTCCATATTTTACCTATAAAAAATAGTGATTTTCCAGTTCGCTATGTTAAGTAACCAGAGGGTACTATCAGTAATCATTCAGCACCAAGATACTGATGAATGATGATCCCAACCCAAGACATTGGGGCACTGCCTTTTTTTTGGGGGGATGCCAACAAGATATGAGCTATGGTCAATACTCATGGTTAATAACCATTGATAGGGGCTAGTCATCCAATGGTTCATAGGGATTTATAATAACCATTGTAAGGATCCTTATTATGGATGGGATGACCATCAACCATATAGTGAGTATTGACCATGGCTCATATGGTTTGTTATGTTAGTTGCTGAATGTTGCAACTAAACTGTTGGGAACCATTGAAAAATGCTCAATGTTGCTTGGTTCGTGATGCTACTTGGATGATTTCTGTTAAGCAAGTAGCTTAGCGTAGCTTTGATTGACCAGCACCAGCCAAGCATTTACCAACACATCAACCAGCATTCCGGGCTACCCGGTTCTTGGGACCCCACAAAAACCTTTGCTGATTGAGGGGAGCTTGTGGGATAACCCTTCCAGTTTCAGACAAATGGGGGGAAGGTTCCAATTGTGATAGTTCCAATTGCGGTACAGCGCCATCACAAACTGGACAGTTGCTGATTGATACTGGGCTAGAATTTTCACTAGGTGGTAACCCTGCAGGAAGATGTTGGGATATTTTTGGCACTTGCTCACTATTTGTTGGACCATTGGTTAGCGGGTTAGCTGGTTAGCCTAGTTAGCTGCTAGTGATTTAGACATGCACCTGGACTCGGGGACTTGTTCAACGCAGTGTGGTACTGGGTTATCGATTGTCCCACCATATTTGTTGGTTCCTTGATTGATGGTTACATTACCGTTTTTTGATGGTAACACGTTAATCCTTGATGCTAAAACCTTCATTTTGATGGTAAAACCTCGATTTTTGTTGGTTAAAGCTTTGGTGTTGATGACTATTTATGCTTGTAGCATCAGTTTCGTTGCTTACCCATGGCCCATCCCTCCATTGTTGATCAACATCACCAGTTTTTCATGGTGAGCCTCCTTGGAATTGGGATGTATTTGGCTGTCCGCCTCTCCATCTAAGTATCAATCAATCTATCAATCAATCAATAAATCAATGATATATCTTAGTCTCAATTAAAACATCTATTGAATATATTGATATCTCAATGAACTGATTCAGTGTCAATCAATGTATCTCAATTTTTCCAGCTGGATGTATCAAGAAAAACATCTCCAGCTGTGCCCGGATTTTTATGGTGCAGAAACTTTCGACCGGGACGAGACTCCCCGGTCGCCAGGCCTATCAGAGGAACGAGTATCCGAATCAGGCCCGGTTTCCATAAACCCAGCAGTTTCCCTAGGCTCAAAATGGCGACACTTTTGGCTCAGAAAATCACCATTCTGTTTGGATTATGTAGATAGATAGATTAGATTAGATTAGATTAGATTAGATTAGATAGACAGACAAACAGACAGACAGATAGATATAGAAATATACGCTTGGGGCCCTAGGTTTCCACAGATTATCTTGCTTATCATTGATCCAAATGTCAAAAATCACTGTTTCGCCACAGCGAAATGCGGATTTTGCACATTCTTCTTCTTCATTCTTTAATGACAATTGTACGGACCTAAATTTTTAGGCCCGCGCAAGTTGCATGTTATGACATGTTATCCACAGTACATGTCAATTCTGATTTTCATGTTTTCCCACACGAAATACCACTTTTCATGAATTTCTTTGATTTTGTTTATCCGGAATTGTCATTTTTTACAGCGGCTCGTGGGGTAATATGAAGGTGTCGTTTTTTTATTGGTATTTGCAGTGAATTTTAATGTTAGCATGAAACGGCACATGTTGATAGTCAGCCCTTTTTTGCTCGTTGTTGCTTCAACTTCATCACCCTGCTGCAACATTTTCTTTTTCAACCCACCCCTCCCATCAACGTAGCATCAACGTAACATGAACATGACGTTAACATGCCCCACCCCACCCCACCCCTCCCATCAACGTAGCAACAACGTAACATGGAACTGACGCTAACATGCCCCACCCCACCCCACCCCTCCCATCAACGTAGCAACAACGTAACATGAACCTGACGTTAACATGCCCCACCCCCCCCCCACCCCTCCCATCAACGTAGCATCAACGTAACATGAACATGACGGTACATGCCCCACCCCACCCCACCCCTCCCATCAACGTAGCATCAACGTAACATGAACATGACGGTAACATGCCCCACCCCACCCCCCCCCTCCCATCAACGTAGCATCAACGTAACATGAACATGACGCTAACATGCCCGACCCCACCCCACCCCTCCCATCAACGTAGCAACACGTAACATGAACATGACGCTAACATGCCCCACCACCACCCCACCCCTCCCATCACACGTAGCATCAACGTACCATGAACATGACGTTAACATGCCCCACCCCACCCCCACCCCTCCCATCAAACGTAGCATCAACGTAACATGAACATGACGCTAACATCCCACCCCACCCCATCCATGAACGTAGCTCACGTAACCACGTTAACATGCCCCACCCCCCCACCCCCATCAACGTAGCATCAACGTAACATGAACATGACGGTAACATGCCCCACCCCACCCCACCCCTCCCATCAACGTAGCATCAACGTAACATGAACATGACGGTAACATGCCCCACCCCACCCGACCCCTCCCATCAACGTAGCATCAACGTAACATGAACATGACGCTAACATGCCCGACCCCACCCCACCCCTTGCGGAAACCTGGGGCCCCGAGGGTATATATATATAGATATAGTTAGAACAGTTAGAATCACCAAACAGTTAGAATGCCTCCCAGTGTAGATTTTCTCCCAGGCAGAAACACACACATATATATATATATATACATATCCTACAATAAACGTTAGTGAACTCTGTGGTCTCTGTTTAGCCATAAATCAGCTCTGTTCCCATGAAATTCCCGGCGGAAGCGGCCAGGCCTTGAACGTGACAGGTCCACGCGATGCCACCTACCAATTCCAGGTGGGGTAAACTCACCAAGAAGAGGGATGTAGTGGGATTTATTGGGCTTTAATGGGATATATGATGGGAACCCATATATATACATAATATATATATATATATAGACAGCCCATATGTCCAATATGCATATATGTATGTATATATGTATTTGTATATTTGTATTGTAAGGTATTGTAATGTAACATAGTGCAACCTAAAGTAACGTATGTAATGTGATGTATGTAAGCACGTAGGTATGTGTAAATATACACATACAATGATCTGCATGTATGCAACATAATCTAATCAAATACTATATCTGTATAATATATATATATATATGTATCATATATATATATATATGTATAATATATATATATGTATATATATATATGATCCCGTCTTCCGACCGCGAGGTCCCCCCCCAATGGTATGGGTCCCCAGATAGCACCCCATTCCCTTCTATTTGCAAGCTATTGGCAGCATTTCTGAGGTCCAGCCTCGTATTTGCTAGGTTTTTGCAGCGATTCTAACTACCAGCCTCGCATTTACTAGGTACACGCTACCTTTTAGACGACCTACGTAGCACACATACTCCCTCAAAGTACCTACGTGCTACCTATAGTTATATATCCACGTGCTATGTATCTACTTCAAATATGTATATATATATATATTTATTTATATTATAGACACATACAATATATATATATATATAGTACACATGTTTACATACATATATATATATATATATGTATATATGCAATATATATATACATATACATATACGTATACATATACATATACATATACAAATAAATATACATATACATAAACATTACATATATATATATATACATATATATATATATACATATTTACATATATATATATATTTATATATATATATATACATATTTACATATATATATATATATATTTGCATATATGTAAATATATATATATATATATTTACATATATATATATTATACATTTACATATACATACATATATATATATATATATGTATAACCACACTCCCACCACACCACAGGGCAGGAGGGGGACAGTACCACACCCCCACCACACCACGGGGGGGAGGGTCTAACTACTACTACTACTACCACTACCACTACCACTACCACTACCACTACCACTACCACTACCACCCACCCACCCACATGGGGGGGCGGGGAACATAGCTCCTGTATACCCATACCCATTGGGGGGGAGGGGGCGGACCAGGGAGGGCTGCATCATATATATATATATAATACATGGCTGAACTAAGGTGGTCCCTTTTGATATGGTTAAACAACCGCTTTTAAGTGAGACACTTTTCGGTGGGAATCCCGGAAAAAAACCTGAGGTCATCAACACGGCGGTCCGTAAGGGTCGCGGGGAAATCACAGCTTTAGTGGGATTGTTGATGGATTTTTTTGAGATTCAATGTGGGTAAAACAATGTCATAAACCACCCATTTGGGAATGGTTGATACTAGATACCACCTATTTATGGTGATTTGGGGGATTATTTATTATTGTTTTGCCAATATTAATGGGAATATACTAGGAATTTCAAACATGGCTAGGTGGGACATTTCCTAATTCTGGAGGTTTTAGTTCGGGAAAATCAGCGAACTACATCGGGGGATTTTCCAAGAAACGATGTAGCTGACTACCAGAGGCTTCAACAAACAAGCTGAGTTATCCCGATATTATCATTTTCGTGAGATCCCCATTGTACCAGAGAGTACCCTTCTGCAAACGTTCAGATGTGGGAAAACCAGCACTTGTACAGATTTTCCAAGGGAAACCTGAGATTTTCCAGATCTTTTTCTACTCCACAGGATGGGGTTCCCGTTCGATAGCCTTCAGGTTACTGGTTGGTGGTTTGGAACATGAATTTTATTTTTCCATTCAGTTGGGAATGTCATGATCCCAACTGACTTTCGCATATTTTTCGGGGTAGGTCAACCTTCAACCAGTTTTATGGTAACAAAATTCGTATTCATGGGTTTTATCCCACATCACGGGGCACCAGAAACCCCTGACGTGCTGAGGTTGTCCTGATTAGGTCATCGTTAAACGAGAAGTTTGGGATTCGCTTTGCCTGGGGGCCCGGGTTTCCGGGGATGAGACAGGCGGACGTGCTGGTTTTGACTGGCCATTTGAATAGGGAACATATGAGAAATGAGGATTCATCATGGATTCATACACCTATGTTCATTTTGATGGGAACATTGATAAAAAATATGATTCATATGGAAAAATGACATTTTTCATCATGATTTTCATCATGACTTAGGATACCAAAGTTTTTTTGACACACCCATATGCACATCGCATTCCGGAAGATTCTGGATGGATTGCACAAAAGGGGGTTCCCCATTGATCCACGAAAAGGTGAAGCTTTACTCAGATCAAAGCCACGCAGTTGACTTGAAGCAGACATCCCTTCTGTAGAAGTTCAGAGGGGTTCTAGATTTATGGAAGGGGTTCGAAACCAAATGTGGCGGTCTCAACAGAGGTTTAAGAGGGAAGTTCACAGAAAACCTTGGACTTTTGCGTTCTGAGTCGCTTGAATCACCGGCAAATACATGCGTTGGATGTGTTGAAGGGAATCGGAAAGGTGGGAGTGTATGAACATGGGGTATACCACCAATTGCCACCAATTTGTGGCAATTTTTCATGGGACCATGATGATTCATCAGCATATCTATGGTTGGCATTTCTCTTGACAAACAGCTTGGTCTCCAGCAAAAATTGACAACCAACAACAACAACATGTATCTTGGGTGGTAACAAACACCACAACGTCAACTCCAAAGCAATAACGCCAATGAATAGAGGGATTTCAGTTGCTACTGTAAAACGCTACCCGCCAACGATGAACATCCGAGAGGTGAACCAGGTGAAGTGAATGAAAATCCCTGGTTTTCACATAAACCATACGGCCGTATATGGCGATGGATCAATTCCTGTAGATACAAATACAACTTGAGAGGGGGAACACGAAAGGTAGGTGATCACGAAGGGGAAGCAAAGCCTCTCTGTGTAAAAGCTGGCTGTGTGTAAAAGCGTGCTGTGTGCACAAGCTTCTGTGTGTAACAATTTTTCTGTGCAAAGGCATTTGTGTATAAAAGCGTTTGTGTAAAAACTGCTGTGCATAAAGACTTTTGTGCGTAAAGGTTTCTGTGCGGAAAAGTTTCTGTGTGCAAAAGCTGCTCTGGGTAAAGGTTGTGCGTGTAAAAGATTCGGTGTGTAAAAACTTCTTTGTGCAGTCTGTGTGGACAAGTTTTTCTGTGTCAAAGTTTTTCTGTGTAAGCGTTTCTTTGTGTAAAAGCTGTTCTGTGCAAAGGCTTCTCTGTGTAAAAGGTTCTGTGTGTAAAAGCGTCTGCGTGCAAAAGTTTCTCTGTGACAAACCTCTCTGTGTAAGAGTATTTGCGCATAAAAGCTGCTCTTTGCAAACGTTTCTGCGCGTAACGTCGTCTGCTTGTAGAAGCGTATCGGTGCAAAATGCGTCACCACAGCAAAATCGCAAAAACACAATGAAACAAAACATCCAAACTCAAATGCTTGCTGTCGTTACGTTGTTGATGGTGGTGATGCGCGCAGGGCCCCCCAAGGCGTCATTTTGGCTGTGTTAAACCAATTTTTAAAAGCCTCCGGGACAAAAAACACCGCATATTTCAAAGTTTTTGGCGCCGCACAGACCCAAAACCACGGTATTGTTGGTGTTGTTGTTGTTGTTGCTGCTGCTGCTGCTGCTGGTGTTGTTGTTGTTGTTGTTGTTGTTGCTCGTAGTGGCCGAAAATCGTCAAATAGTTGGTGTTTTCGCGTTTTTTGAGATTCGCGGAGCAAACAACACCGTAAATACCGATGTTTTTTTGCCCTAGCAAAAACAACCATGGTATTTACTGCGTTTTTTGGACAGCACCGAGCAAAAACACAGGTATTTACGTAGTTTTCGGCATGTTGCAAGAGGTGATTTTTCCATGCAAAAGTCACAAAACCATGTAAATTACAATGTTTTGGGTTTGCTTTTAGGGTTTTTTGACGGGGTGGAGGGGGGAGGGGATCAGGTAATGGGGCTGGCCACTTTTCCCCTATACTTCGTGAAGCAAAACTCAAGGTAGCACCACTGGAGCTACCTTTCGTGATTTGGTAGGGGATGAACATTCATAAATCTCAGCTATTCTGATGTGAACTACAGGGCTACAGGCTGACTTGACCCATCCCACGTGAATGATATCAGGGATGACATGGGTCAAAATCAGAGACCCCAAATGGGACGGTCTACTCTATATCATTCTATATCTATATGACCATTTACCAAAAATAGTTGACAGAAAAATTGTACTAGTTGTTGATAATTAGTGTGGACCTAGTGGTTTTTCCTCTTCGTTATGAGGCGGCACGCAACTCAATTCACCAATTCTGCAAGGCAGCGCTAGCAAAAAGGTATGTTTGCGCTAGTTTTTTGTCACACCCATGTTCAAGGATATTTTTGTGTGTTTCCTGTCTGCTTGTTTCTTTCAACATGAAGGAAAGTCAAGATGTAACGCTTAGCTCCTTCAACGTCCTTAAACCTGATGATGTCTTAGTGAATTTCTGTGCTACTCAACAATTTCCCTATATTTTTGAGGTTGCGGCTCAATTTTGCGAATTTGTACGTAATTTTACCCGCTAGATCCCCGCTAGGACTGCGCTAGCAAAAGATTAAAAAATGGCTTTGGCTGACCCGTTGTTTTTTTGTTGGGCCTTAATCCATGCCCAAATGAGCAGTCTCAAAAACCTTGTTGTTGGTAGATATATGATGGATCAGGGGTTATACATTCGCAGTTTTTGTTAGGCATCATTGTCCCTGAGCTGGGAATCTTTATTGACCTACCGTAGTAACACGTATTTTGATATTCCTATGGCGAATGGAATGATCAGATGATGAGAGCTTAGCCGATATTTTGGGACTTTTCCATTTTTTAAAAGTTCCAGTGCCCTGATGACGGGTTAAGGTTATCCAGTGAGAGACAAGCCCAACAGATATACTGTTGGTTACACATATCCCTATTAATATGTATTAATTACCCTCTGGTTATTTAACATAGCCATGGAAAATGGCCCATTTATAGATGGTTTACCTGGGTTTACCTATTAAAAATGGTGATTTTCCATGGCTATGTTAAATAACCAGAGGGTATATGCCTTAAATTGGTTGGTTTTACATCACGCACAACGTACGTTTACAGCTCCTGTAAACGTTCACGCTTCGATGTGGCTGGAGGTATCCCTGGCAGATGGTCGAATGAGGGTCATGAGCGTTGGGTCGGCATCCTCGATTGACTGACGGAGGAGGTTGATGAAAAACCAACATTTCTGGGATATTTATGGGATACATATACGTATATATATAATTATATATATATATACACATGATTAATATATATATATAATATGTATATACCAATGAAATGTTACATATTATACAGATAATTACCCATATTAATATACCCATATTAATATATAATACCATATCACATGTACCCTCTAGTAACATATGATGAACATGGGATTTATAGTGATGATTAGTGATGATATTTGATGATAATGGGATAGTGCACCCTAGGGCAAGCTAACATAGATATGGAAGATCACCATTTTAATAGGTAATACATCCATTAAATGGGCAATTTCCAACATTTTTGGGATACTTATCGGTATATACTGTAATATGGGAACATGATTTTGATGCGTAATGATCATTAATGGGGTATGAATCCAAGATTTATGGGACCACAGTGGGGATATTTTTACGGGATATAGTTACCACCATAATGGGAATTTATTTTCGATGTAATTGCATATCATGGGGACATATAATCAACAAAATGATATCTGGGTGTGTCTGAACATGGATGAACAAACACAAGTTATGGCCATCTATTTTCGGGAAAGTGATGATTTACCAGTGGATGGAATGAAGCACTCTATTCTCAGACAAAAGCCCATATGGATGTAAATATACGATATCAACATATCGGCCACCACGCACATTCAACATCTTCTTGCATCCATTGAGAAAAGACATGCATGTTTTCTGGTACACTTTGTCCATCCATATGCAACCAGTACATTGGCTGCTTCCAATGGCAACCTTTGGAGAATGCCACAAGTTCCAGGCATTTCCCGTAAGTTTGGAAGCAGAGCATTTGCCAAATCGCAGTGACTCGTGATACAACAGGACTGATCGGGGGTCTGTAGATTTGGCTGCACCCAACCCATGTCTGCTCTTGCGAATTTGACTCGTGTATATATGTGTATATGCCACCAGTACGTTGGCTGCTTCCAATGGCAACCTTTGGAGAATGCCACAAGTTCCAGGCATTCCCCGTAAGTTTGGAAGCAGAGCATTTGCCAAATCGCAGTGACTCGTGATACAACAGGACTGATCGGGGGTCTGTAGATTTGGCTGCACCCAACCCATGTCTGCTCTTGCGAATTTGACTCGTGTATATGCCACCAGTACGTTGGCTGCTTCCAATGGCAACCTTTGGAGAATGCCACAAGTTCCAGGCATTCCCCGTAAGTTTGGAAGCAGAGCATTTGCCAAATCGCAGTGACTCGTGATACAACAGGACTGATCGGGGGTCTGTAGATTTGGCTGCACCCAACCCATGTCTGCTCTTGCGAATTTGACTCGTGTATATATGTGTATATGCCACCAGTACGTTGGCTGCTTCCAATGGCAACCTTTGGAGAATGCCACAAGTTCCAGGCATTCCCCGTAAGTTTGGAAGCAGAGCATTTGCCAAATCGCAGTGACTCGTGATACAACAGGACTGATCGGGGGTCTGTAGATTTGGCTGCACCCAACCCATGTCTGCTCTTGCGAATTTGACTCGTGTATATGCCACCAGTACGTTGGCTGCTTCCAATGGCAACCTTTGGAAAATGCCACAAGTTCCAGGCATTCCCCGTAAGTTTGGAAGCAGAGCATTTGCCAAATCGCAGTGACTCGTGATACAACAGGACTGATCGGGGGTCTGTAGATTTGGCTGCACCCAACCCATGTCTGCTCTTGCGAATTTGACTCGTGTATATATGTGTATATGCCACCAGTACGTTGGCTGCTTCCAATGGCAACCTTTGGAGAATGCCACAAGTTCCAGGCATTCCCCGTAAGTTTGGAAGCAGAGCATTTGCCAAATCGCAGTGACTCGTGATACAACAGGACTGATCGGGGGTCTGTAGGCTACCATGCTGACAGTGAAGCGTTGTTGCGTAGCTTGTGGCGGAGCCCCGCACGGGTTTCTTTTGCTGTGGATGCTCCACTTCCTCTGGAATGATGCTCAAGGTAAGGGGTAGTCATCCCCAAATTACCCCACAAATTAGATTAGTGAAGTCTTATAATTTACCCGTGTAGGCATATATATATATGTATACATAATTATACATACTATATATACACATATTCATTCCCATGATATTTTCCGTTAATATTCCTATGATTTTTAAACGGTTGGTCCTCCCATTTTTTCATGGGTCCCATATCATTCCCGCGGCGTCAGGGCTGGACTCTGCGAGGCCCACAACGAAGAGATGCCCGGCACCTGTTGGGGATGAAGTCAGGCGATCCACCAAGGGGGTGTCTGGAAATGGGATATACCCCAACAATGCTACCTTTTTTTTTTAGGGAAAATGAAAATGAATGAACATGATGATTAACCAATGCTGGTAATAGTTGATATATCGTTGATATATTGGTTATACAATTGTCAACTATATGACCCAGCATGCATGTTGATATATATATATATATACTGGTTGGTGGTTTCAAACCATGGAATTTTAGACATTCCATTTCATTTTTGTGGGATGTCATCCGGAAGCCATTGACGAGTTGTCCATCATTTTTCAAGAGGGTTATTGCACCACCAACCAGAGATGATAGAACTCGGATTTTTTCGGATGGGATTTGATTGGATCTTTTGGAAGGCCTAAGAAACTTTTGAGTGTTGAACAAATCCACCCAAAATCGAAAACCGAACATTTTGGATAGCAGAAGCTCAGCCTCATTGATGGTGGATGGTCCTGGATGGTACCCTCTGGTGTCATCAAACATGACAAGTTTGCTGGGAAGATCGTGGAAATGCCGGATTTTCCCGCACGCCATGTTTGATGAAACAGAAGGGTTAGCCTCTGGTAATTTAACATAGCTATGGAAAATCACCATTTTTAATGGGAAAATCCACTATACATGGCCATTTTCAATAGCTATTTTGACATAACCAGAGGGTACCCTATGAAGATTTCAGGTTGCCGGGTCCGTGATGAACGTTCTCCGTGTTTTTTTTTGTTTCGAGACTGCGCTTAAAAAACCGAGGCGTTTCTATCCGAAGCATTCCAACAGCTACCAGCGTCAGGCAATGGATGACATTGTCATTCCCTTGAGGAATTGGGGCATGCACTTGTATTAAACGTGTATCCCGTAACTAAAAAGCGGTATCATCCCAAAAGTTTGTTGTTTGTTTTTGCATGTGAAAACAGGAAGATTCTCATCAGAATTTCTTCCGCTGGATGGTGGAATTTTGGACTTTTCTCATTTCTCCAGGACGAAATTGCTCAGATACCGCAGATCATTTGGCTTAGATCCCTTGCAAAATCTGCGAAGCAAAGATGGCGGGCGAAGCAACTTGACTGCAGGGGATTTGTGTGTAAATGAATCGGTGAATGGTAGGTGAAGGGGTTGATTGATACAGAAACGCGGATGGGTCAATACCTCGAAATGGGACCATCGAAATGGGGAGAGCATCCATAGACACCAACTATTTTCAGCAGGGTACCCTCTGGTAAACATACAAAAAACTATGGAAAATCACCATTTTCAATTGGTAAATCCACTATTTCTATGGCCATTTTCAATAGCACCCTGTTAAATTACCAGAGGGTACCAAGTATGAACTGACCCATACCCAATGGAAGAACACACTTTCCAGTTCACCCAGTTCGGTTTCTTCCAGATCAACGAGTGAACAGGACTTTTCATTGGTGCTCCATTTTTTTGGTCACCATACGATTGGAATTACTATTAATGATATAAAGTCATAGCCCTAAAAAAGCATAGCTGCTGCTTGCTGGTTTCAATTTTTTATTTCCAACCATTAAACGGGATGATTATTTTCTCAATGACTGTTCAAAATTTTCAGGGTGGTGGTTTTTCAAACCACCCATCAGCCATGGCAAAACAACCAGCAATCAGCCATCATTTCTGGAGGAGATTCCTATTTTGGTTTGTCTGAAAATGAGGTACTCCTAAAAACCATGGTTTATCATCGCTTTCCCTACTATACATGGTCAGTTGGGGGGCGTACCACTGTAGCCAGTTTTCGGACACTCCCAAATCATCATGTTGTTGGTGATATAAATATGTACATATATTATATATATATATATATATTATATGATATATATATATATATGTAATATCTATATTTATATGTAATGTATAGATATATATATATATAATATTCCATTCATATCCATGATATATCCCCAATATTGGTCCAAAAAGCTTTGAATCTTTGAACGGTGAGATCCCCATGAAGGCAGGAAAGGCGCGGACTGTGCTGCTCGCTACTGAGAAGGCCAGTGCGTGCTGTGACCCGGGGAAGCGAAAATGGATGGTCTACAGATAGTGGCTTTTCCACATCGAACTGCGAACGTTTACTGGAAGGTAATATATATATATATATTCTATTATGTATATATATATATATCTATATACAATATATTTGATGGTGAACTTTGAACAATAAACACATTTGGGTCTGTCAAATGGGGGCAAGAGCCGCCAGGCCTTTGCCGCTGGAGCCGTGAAGAAGATCGAAGATGTTTGCAAGGCGAATGTCGAGACTTCACTGGGGAGCTGGGTAGACTCACTCAGTGATACCCTTAGTTAGTGGTTTATAATCCATGTGTATATATATATATATAGATAGATAGTATATATATATATAGATAGTATATATATATATGTATATATAACCCCTATAATCCCATATATAACTAGGGGTATACCCCCTGGTAAACTAAGAGTTTGCTATTGAACATGGCCATAGAAAGTTCGTTGATTTAGTCATGAAAAATAAAGTGTTTTTACATCGTTTTTTGTACGTAAAAACCAGGCCGGGTATTTGTGGGATTTTTCAGCCAACTAACTAGGTCAATCCTAGATGGGTAGAAACTAATCTTTGAGTCTTTTGGTATCAATGGGATTATTTTTTAAAACCAGCTAAGAATTTATTTTATTTTTTGCAGGGTATCTGGCTGATTGGCCATGAAAAACGGGAATCATATGCTAATTACAGCAAGGGGATGGATATCATCAACCATAGACGAAAACGGGGCTTCACCCATCAGCAAGGGAGATTCAATGGTGATACAACATGATTGAAATTTAATGGGGATATGATGGGATATGCTGTACTTGGGATATATTCAACATTAATCAACCATTTGATATTTGGATTTGGAAATTGAATAATGCGGAAATTCTAAGGATTACTAATCCTCCGTTGTGAATTTTTGGGTGCCATATTTTCAGTTGAGCCGCAGCCAAGATGCAGGCACAAAGATGCAAAGCGGACTGTTTGATGGCGGGTTGGGTTGCAAAAAATGAGAAACATACGGAAAAATGGGGAAGCTACCTGGAACAATTGGGAATGTCTTGAGACTTCGACGAAAAGAACATGGAGGAACCTCTTGCAAAGAGGACGACCCAAGGTCGCAAGGTTGGTTTATGAATCTTCGCCGATTTTCTCTGCAGATATGTCCACTAGATCGATCCAACATGTCAAAACACATAGGCCCTATCCCTTGACCAAGGCGAGCAGCCTCCAACCATCATCATCATCATCATCATCATCAGTAATTACTTACTGGTGCTGAGTAGGGAATGAGGGAATGGGATGATTGCTGATATTTATAAATCATTCCCACATTCCCTACTAAGCACAAGTAAGATTATGACATATTATGACTATCATCAGCAATGATGGGATTAATCGGATTAATCATGATCATAACTGGTCGGTGGTTTAGAACATGATTTTTATTTTTCCATTCAGGTGGGAATGTCATCATCCCAACTGACGAACTCATATTTTTCAGAGGGGTTGAAACCACCAGCCAGATAGCCTTAGGGTAGGGGTATAGCCTATATGATGGGACTAATCATAGTAATCAATAGTAGATGATAGTTCAATGGATTGGTTTAAGGGAAAATCTACACCGGAAACCATTCCGATTCTCCCATTAAATATGGGGCTTTCCGGTTAAAATGATCCCCAACAAACCAATCCATTGAATAGTAGATGATTGATCATCATAACCATTGGTGATCTACCCTCTGGTAAACTAACATAGCTATGGAAAGATCCACCATTTTTAATGGGCAATTCCACTATAAATGGCCATTTTCAATAGCTATGTCACAAATTACCAGAGGGTAAATCACCATTCTTCACCATGTTTGTTGGTTAAATCGATGGACTAATCATAGTAATCAATAGTAGATGATAGTAGATGATTGATCATCATAACCATTGGTGATCTACTACTACTACTATTTTCATCACCCACATGCTGACCTAAAAAATGGCAGCGCAGAAGCGTTTTCACCTTTTTGCAACGGGGGGATTTTCCAGCTGTTGACGGATTTTCCAGGTATAGCCGGCCTGGTAAACATAGAAAAAGCTATTGAAAATGGCCATTTTGGCCCAGTCGAATAGTGGATTTAGCCAGCTAGAAAATAGTGGATCTTTCCAGTTCGCAAACTGTAAACGTTTACCAGAGGGTATCCATTCAAGTGTCCATTCAATTGTCATTATCATCACATCATCAATTATCCCTCTGGTAAACGAAACAAGTTTGCGAACTGGAATTTTTCCCCATGTCCTGTCTAGGTAAATATTAAATCAACGAAATATTCAGGGCTCATGGCTTCAAGTTCGCAAGTCCTGTCAGTCATTACCGGCGGCCGGGTATCCCGACTGATCGACAGTAAAATTCTCCCAAGATGATCCCATCAAAAATCGACCAATGGAGGCGGCCAATTACACCATGAAGAAGCTGGAGAACTACAAGAGCAAGGACGAAAAAAGCTGGTGACTTTTTTGTTGGATGATTTTTTTGGATTACTGGGATTTTAGAAAAGCCCTAAAAATCAAAGAAATGACCTTCTCTCAAAAATTGAGAGTTCCTAAAGATTAGATAGATTGTATTCAATTTTCTGTCACATCGAAAAATCCATTCAACAGTTATCCCATTGGATTGTTGTTTATCCCAATAATCCCATTATCCCAATAATACCATGAAAAATATAGATAATATAGAGATATATCACCACAATATACCAGTAATCCCAATTAATGTATAGTATTATCTACATCTATATCACCATCCTATATTATAAATCGAAATTCCTCCCAATTTATATCACCATACAAAAAAACTACAGATCCGAATTAATTTATAAATAGGATTATATATTCCAATGTAAACATTTAATTTGTATATATATACATACATACATCCCATGAATTTTACTGATATGTATATTAATTAATACACACATATATATATATATACCGGATGATCATGGGATTTGCCATATTAGCAATATATATATATAATATATATATATATAGTAGTGATATAATATTGCATTAATTAGTGATATTTCACGTATTGGGACCCAAGATAATCCCATGACGCGTCGAGATATCGCAGGACGATCTCCTGACAGCAGTGGCCGATGTGGATGCCATGATCATCCGCTCCGACATCGTAGATCAGGTGGATGGGAGGACGGGATCCGGTTGGAAAACTTGGAAAATGGCATTTTTCCGGTTGGAAAAGCTGATGTCCGAGTTGAGAACCTGAGGTTTTTGGTCGAACCATGATGTTTTGGGTGGGTTTGATTGTTGGTCTTGGAGTGTGGCTTGGTGTGGATAACTTGGCTGTTTTTTTTTTTGTGTGTAGATGTAAGCAACACAAGTGGGTATAGCAACAAGATCCTCTGACTCTTGATGATGCAAAACAATGTGCGAAGTTGGGCGCTGGCTACGGTGTGAAGTGTGGGTTTTTCCTGACAGGTCCAAACCTACCAATGGCCATTTAGGTGTTTTTTCGATATGTCAGCATTTTCAGAGACCCAAATATATTCTAAAAATTGGTTACATATGCTGAAAATCCATGTTAAACCGTTAATTCACCATTTTTAATGGTTAAATCACCATTCTTCACCATGTTTGTCGGTTAAATCGATGGGCGGAAAAAAATTGTGGCAGCCGGAGGCAGTGGTGGACAAGGCAGAGAAACTGAAGATTGTGGTCCGTGCAGGCGCGAGATGAGACGAAATAGG